CACACACACACACACACACACACAGAGATACAAATACCTTTTTGAGCCTCTCAGTTTTCTCTCAAGAGCTGGACCCAGCCACACAGGATAAAGGAAGGAACTGGAGATCTTTTCAGGAAGAAGACAGATTCTGTTCTGTCAGGTTCCTATGAGTGTGTGTAAAAGCGAGTCAGAGGAGAGAGAGAGAGAGAGAGGAGGGAGAGAGAGAGGGAGAGAGAAGAGGGAGGGAGGGAGAGAGAGAGAGAGGAAGAGGCAGAGGGAGAGAGGGGGAGAGAGGATCTGTTGCAGGCAGGGGAAGGCGTGACCTGAATGAAGAATGCCAGCCAATTCCAGAGACACACAGGGACCTCAGAACAAAGATAAGGCATCGCTGACACCATACGGGGGACAAGCTCACGGGAAAGTCAGGCCGAGGGGACCGAAGCCAGGCAGCCAGGAGCACCCCAGGCAGGAAAATGAGGTGAGTGCCAGGGCAGGAGTGGACATGGGGGGGCCCTTTCGGGAACCAGGTGTCAAGTAGCCCGGGAAGGTTTGCCCTGGTCTCCAGGCAGACTCACCTGTGTGTCCTGTGGCTGTTGCAGGGGGTTCTCATCAATCCCTGGGGCTTTGAGAAGGGCGATGTGGGCTGGGCGCTGCCCTGGGACTGCGGAGACACGCAGCTCGAAGCGGGAGACTTTGTGCAAATCCTGCCCGTCGCTGCCCAGGCTCAGTTTCTCCCTCTGCCAGCATAGGGGGCTGTCCGCTGGCAAATGTGACTTCCCTCCTGTTGCCCACGAGGCTGATTTTTTGTTTTCCTCCTCTGCAAAGAGCATTGGTTTATCTCTTCCGACACTTTGTGAGTTAGATATGTGTTTGTGTGTTTATTTCTTCTGACCGGAAATGAAGCCAGCTTCCCACAGCTCAGCTCTGCGGTTTCTTAAACCTTCAGAAGTTTGCCAGTTAAAACCTCAATTTAGAAAACGAAAAACCTGTCCCCATTTTACAGTTCCCTATAAATTTCTGCATTTCTCACTGAAATCAGAGGCAGCTGGTGGCATGAATCAGGCTATGAATTGTACCAAATGACTCTTAAAGGGATACCACAAATTAAAAAAAAAAAAAAGGAGCCTCTGGTGTTCTAAATCCAGGACTTTCAATTCTAATTGTTTTTAAACTCCTCAACATTTCCTATTCCTCAGCCTATACTTAGAGCTACTTGATCCTTCTTACCAGGCATTCCTTCTAAGTTTTCCTCTTCAAGTCTCAAAACGCAACCACTATAATTATTTTTACTATTTATAAGTGTTAATGCTGTTAATAATACCCAAAGAAAGGAAGGTAAAAGAAAAACACCCTGCAGATGTGTTGAGTCCCTCAGCACCTCTTTTCTCGCTGATTTTCTTCTCAATTGGAAAAGGGTTTCTATTTGTTTCTCTTCTGCAAAGTCACCTAGCAACTTTTCTGGGTCTGGGGCCAATGGGGGGCTTCAGACTCTGTTAACTCTTTGAGCTCATATTACCTGTGGTTCAGAGAAATAATCAAGTCTCTAAGGTTAATTTGATCTGTTCTTTTAAAATCCATTGTAACATTAAGCCTGCCATCTAACTTCATTTTCCTTTCTCCTGAAAGAGATAGGATTTATGTCCATCTACATGGAGTGACAATTCAACTGATCTGTGGAGAGCAGAATCCTACCCTACCACCCCATGCCGCAGCCATACCAACCTACAGACTGATTAACAGCTCTGTATCTTTGTGTTCACTCACCCCTTAGCGCAGAATAGCTCTCCCCCCTTATTTTCCACCTAAAGGCCCCCATTGTTCAAGCCATAGCTCAAACATCATCTCTTCTTGCCTGGCCAACATCCCCAGAATGAGCATCCTCTCCTTTGTGCTATCCCTGTTCTTGGGAGCTACGTCTCTCTTCGTCCTCATAATATTTTGCTATTCAAATGTCTATCTCCTTTTCCAAGACCGAATGCTCCTTAAGTATAGGATCTATGTCTCTCTCTCTTTTTTTTTAAAGATTTTTATTTATTTATTTGAGTGAGAGAGAGCACGAGTGGTGGGGGAGGGCAGAGGAAGAAGCAAACTCCCATTGAGCAGTGAGTCCAGTGCCCAGTGCGGGGCTCCATTGGGATCATGACCTGAGCCAAAGGCAGATGCTTAACCAGTTGAGCCACCCAGGCACCCCTAAAGGCTCTGCATTATTATAAATAGGAACGAAGCCTCCCTTGAACACTTCCTTCGCACAAGTAACTGGTTATGTTTGATCTATCTCCTTCCACACTTACTTCTATGACATATGGAAAATACATACAAAATGTCTATGATATGTACAAAATATGTATTATTTGGTGAACCTATTGTTTTTTCGCTTAATAGATGGTATCCTAACATACGTATCATTTTTCAACCTTCCCTTTTCACTCAGTGATAAGTCTCGGAGATAAATCCCTGTTGCTATACATAGATTTTTCCCATTTTCTCTTACTGGGGCTCCACATTCCATAGAATGACTACATTACATTTAGTCACTATTTCACTGAGGCCCACTTTTCACCTTGACAACCAATGCTACAAGGAACAGGCTTGCCCATGTGAGCATTTCTCTAAGACAGATATCTTGAAGTAAGATTCTCAATTTGTAAGATTTGCACATTTTTATTTTACTAATAGCCCCGGCTTGCCCTCCCAGTGGCCAGGCCCCTGTCCATTTCTATAAGCATTGTGTCAGTGGACCCATTTCCCACTTTCACCAACACTAACTGTCTCCAACATCCTCCATTCTTTCTGAAAGGGCCTGCACATGATAAGTTCTCAGAGCCTGAGTGTGTCTTTATTTCGGCTGAGGGACATAATCCTCTGGCTAGTGTAGAATGACAGGCTTAAAAGTATTTTTCTTTTGCACATTAAGATATTTTTTATTTCCCTCTTGTTTCCAGGTGGTTGGCAGAAAATCTGGATATTAATCTAGTTTTCGTTCCTTCTCTGGTAATTTTTAAAATTTTAACTTTATCCTTGATATGCTGAAATTTCACTACATGGAATCTATATATAATTTTATGCATATATCCCATGTGAGGACTGGAAGATCTTTTCAGTCTGAGAATTTATGGTTTTCTCGATTCTGGGAAAACTGAGACCAATATTTCTTCAAAATTTCTTCCTTTCCCTCTCTTTATTCTATTTTTAATGAAAATTCTACTAGATGCATGTAGGATCTTCTGAATCTATGCTCCCTTTATTCTTTCATACTTCTGATCTCTTCATCTGGGGAAATTCCTCAGCTTGATTTTTCAGATCATTAATTAATTCTTCATTTGTGACCATTCAGCTATCATACTAATGATTGCATTTTAATTTCAATAATTATACTTAACATAATTACATTTAGTAAATGCAAAAGTATTGTTTTAATTTCACTAATTATCCAATGGCTTCTTTTTGTATTTCAATTTGTTCTTATTTCAGATCTTTCTCTTCTTCTTGTTTCATAGATGATACACCCTCTTTTAGCTCCCTGGAGATAGGTTATTTTAAAATCCTGTTCTTATGTTTCTGTTAACTCTATTTCCTTACATGAAATTCTCTTATTGAATTTATTATCCCTTTTCCAGATACAATCTTAAAAAAAAAATATTTGTTGATCCTTGTTTGGCAACCTTTCTGTGGTGGCGGTTTCTATTTCTTTCCAAGCGACTTCATGCTACAGTCTTGTCAGCTTCCAGCTTCCCCATGGGATCTTGATGGCTTCCCACATGGTCAGGATGGGTTCCCACAGGATGCATTCTCTGTCAGGATGATTTCCTCAGCTCACTGCTACAACCTCTCATCTACAGACCTCCTTGTACAGGCCTTCCTATTTTCTCATCTACAGATAATTCCTTGTCTTGATTTTAAGTGCAGCTGTTCCTTTATTTATCTCATTTCTAGTCTTTCTTATTATTTTTATGGATTGGGTCCAGAAATGGGGAATTTCCATGTGTCTTGAAGTCCAGGAAATATAGTCCATCGTTTTGAATCACCAACCCTTTATTAGCTAACTTGCACCCATTCTGTTTAGCTGCCATAGCACCATGACTTTGCTGACCACTTTGTATAAATTAGCCCTTCTATTGGTCTCTCCCAAAGAATTCTGTCCTCTTCCTACATAGTACTCATCACAATTTGTAATTATAAATTCAGTTGTGTGTTTACCTAGCTTGATGGCTTTTTAAAGATTATTTGAACATCTATATATTCAAAAAGCACTATTGATCCCAAGGTACAGAGAATATTATTCAGGCCTTGAATTATTATAGTGAAAGAGGGACATAAGTAGTAATCTGACACATGCAATAATTTAAAACACGTGTAAGGAACAAAGGTAATATTTACTTCTCTTTTGGGTGATCAGAGAAGATTTTCCAGAAAAATGACATTTAAGCAAGATTTCAAAGGATAAATTAGAGGAAGTTCTACAAGCAAATGAGAAAGGGAATAGCACTAGAGACCAAGAGAACCAACTATGTAAGTGCATGCAGGAATGAAAGAGCATGATGAAATCTGGAATAAACAACTAGTTTGGTACCAGTTCTAGACATTAAAGTGTGTGTGCCTAAGCGTGGGGAAGAATACAGAAGTGAAAGAGCAATCCCATTTAAGAGTATCGTGTCGGGATAGGCCAGATTATCTACAGAAACAAACAATGCCGAAAGCTCAGTGCCTTCATACAACAGTTTTTTTCTCACCCATGCCAAGTGTGCTGTGGGCCCAGCTGACTTTCCAAGGCAGCTGCCCTCCACATGTTGGCTCAATACTGCATGCTACTTCAATCTCATGGCACCTCATGTCAACATGAGGCTTCAGGGTTCAAATGCTATTTTAAGACATTTTTATTTTACTCTTTAAGCAAAGGAGGGCCTTTAGGAAAAGGTTTGACAAAGGGAGAGAATGAATAAGACTTATATTTTTGTAAGAATGGTACTATAGACAGAAAAACCAATTAGGAGGTTGTTGATATAATCTTCCAGTAATACAGGGGCAGTGGGGAATGGAAGCTGTGCATGATGTTGGATTTGAAAGATACTTACATGTAAACAATGGAACTTACTGATTGATGGCATATGAGGAGAAAGGAAAAATATAAATCAAGGATGACACTCAAATATCTGGCTTGAGTTTCTGAGCTGTTGGTGGTTCATGGACGTAGTTGGTGCAGGGAAATGAGCAAGTTGGGAATGGAAAGATAGCAACCTCTGTCCAATGGACACTTCAAATGGAGGTGGGAATAGACATTTGATTGGTGAGTGAGGAACTGTGAGGAGACATGTAGGATAAAGAAATAGATTTGTAAGTAATCAGTATACAACACCATTTAAACTGTGGTGGTAGAATGCATGAGAAATATTCAGGAAGAATGGTTAACACTGAGCTTCTGAACTTCACAGCCTCAGAAAGACCACCAGGCCCCAGAAATTATATACTAAGTTTTAAGAATATGTGCATATTTAAATTTTTCTCTGAAGAAAGCCCATCCACAGAGGTTTATTAAGGTCCTACTATGTGCAAGTCAAAGGCACTGGCCTGGTACTGGAAATAGAGCACTAAACAAAAAATAAAAAAAACATTTGTCCACTTTGAGATTGTGTTATTCTAATGGGATGGGAAGTGAGCAACAAACAAATAAATAATTAAAAATAAATGGTATCTTAGCTGCTGGTTAGTGCCGTGAAAAAAAAAAAACTGAAACCGGATATAGGGATTGTAAGTGTGGGTAAGAATAGAAGTAGTAGAATAGAGTGGTCAGGAAGGACCTCACTGAGAAAGTGACACTTTTAGAAAGAGTTGAAGGAGCTGAAGGAGTGGACTGTGTGGCTTTATTGGGGGTATTCCAGACAAAGGATCTAGCTTCCATTAGATTCTCAATGATTCACTAGAAAGATAAAGAATGATTCCTCTGAAGCAAGAAGAGAGCTGAGAAAGCAGGTAGAGAAAGAATAGTCTGCAAAGGAGTGCTGGTGATTGGTTGTGGGATTCAGAAAAGATGTAAAGGCAAGAGGATCTGATAGACTTAAAATGGGATGGTGTCAAAGGACTGGATGTCTTGATGAGATTGAAGTCTAGGGTTATTGGAGTCTATAGGGTTATTGAAGGAGTAAAAGACCTAAAAAGATAGGAGATGGTGGTTAGAGAATGGGTGTTATGAGATGCAGCTTTCAGAGGTGGATGTGGCTATGGGTATCATAGATGGCTAGGGTAAAGTGGAAGAAGTCATCACTGAAGATGAGGAGCTCAAAGGATGAGAGCCTAGTGTCCCTCAGGACATCAGGAGGAACTGGGAAGGAAAGGTAAGCAATGGAGCCACATGCCTAAGTTCTTAAAGAGAGGAATATAGGATAGGACCAAGAGGTTGGAAGGTGGCAGTAACAGGGATGAGTAGAGTTTGCCAGAGTGATAGAAGGGTAGGGGAATTTGGAAAGAGGGTGGAAAAGTAATAGTCATGAAATAGCAGTAGGAAGTTAGGGAAGTAAGGACCCTGACTCCTCCATGATCTGAGTCCACCCCCTCACCCCACGGTCTTACCCCAACTGTCCATTTGCTTCTTATAGCCTAACCAATGCTGTCCTGTGGTTGGTTCTGCTTGGTCCATGTGGCCTTAGCATCTGGGGAACCTCTGGGAGAGGGGAGACATAATATGAGTGAATAGCAACTATAGTTGATATAAAATGGATTTAGGTGAGCAAAGGTAAGGGAGGTATGGAAGGTGTGTTAGTTTCCTAGGACTGCCATAACAAAATACCACAGACTGGGTCACCTACACAGCCGAAATTTATTTTCGCACAGTCCTGGAGCCTAGAAGTCTAAGATCAAAGTGTTGGCAGGTTTGGGTTCTTTTGAGACCTCTCTCCTTGGCTCGTAGATGGCTATATTATTGTGTCCTCATGTGGTTGTCCCTCTGTCTGTGTCATCTGTGTCCTAATCTCCTCTTCTTATAGGGACTCCAGTCATATTGGATTAAGGCCCACCTAAACAGCACCTTTTTAAATTTAATTACCTTTTGAAGGCCCTTGTAATCATATTCTGAGATATTAGGGATTAGGACATCAACATATGAATTTGGGAAGGACACAATTCAACCCAAACAGATGGTATATGTCTCAAGTACTTAAGAACCCCAGGATCATTCCTTACACATCACACCTCCTCCTGCAAGATTACCTTGAGGAGAAATAACCAAACAGAAAACCAGGTACCCTGTGTTACCAGCTAGGCTAGTACCTGGTTCCACAGACTGGGGCTCTCCTGTAAAGCTGGGCTCGATGACAGGGCTTCCTTTGGTCAGAAGTTTAAAAAAAGCATGCCCACCTTCTGTCAGAGCTTAAATCCTAATATCCTCCCCCTATCACCCTTTGGCCAGATACATGGAGAAAGAAGAGCAAAGAGAGAGCCAGAAGACCCAAAGAAGGCTAGTTCCCAGTTGTTTTTTTGACTGAATGAAATAAGGCAGAAAGCAAGAGAAGCTGATGTGTATGGCCAATTGATTCACTTCCAATGCTCACTAATAAACTTAGACCCTGTCCTAAAGAATAAGGAAGAAGGTGGGAATCAGGGTAGGTTGAGACGTGGGAAAAGGGGAGAGGAATCCTCTCTTATCCAGAGACCAAAGTAGATTCTAGAAGCGATAAGCCTACTGGCAGCTGAGGAAGCATGAAGATTTTGATCTTCAAGAGAGGTCAAAACACCTCAGCATACCTCTTTGTTCAACAAAATTGTGTGGTGGAGAGCCAGCTGCGTTGGCCAGCCAAAGGTCATTTGGGGCTTTCAGAAAAACCAGCCAGTTTCTTTTCAAAGTACTCAGTCTCAAATAGAGTGGCCTACAACCTAACAGAAAAGAACATGGGAGTAGGGAACTCTGATTCATGGTCTCAGCCCACCATCTAGTTTCAATGTGACCCTGGGCAATACATTTCTCTTCTCTAGGACTCAATTACCTCATCTCAATATTATTATTAATCATATATGTAAAATATAGATAATAATGCATGGCCTTTGTCGGTTGTTTTCAGGATGAAACATTCTTCTTGGAAACAAGGCTTCACAGGAAGCTGGGGCAGAACGTGACCTCCATCCCCAGCATCCCGACTCATAGGCTATTTCACGGCGCTGGGCTATTTCTACCGTGTCCACCACAAGGCTTCCAATATTTAGTCACTTGCCTTTATAATTTTTTTGTATGCATGAATACCATCTATATTATTATTATTATTTGTTTCATATTTGTGTTTATTTTTTAAATTTTATTTTATTATGTTATTTTAGTCACCATACATCACATCATTAGTTTTTGATGTAGTGTTCCATTATTCATTGCTTGCGTATAACACCCGGTGTTCCATGCAATACATGCCCTCCTTAATACCCATCAGCGGGTATAATGTGATATCAGATAGCCCATCCCCCCACCCCCTCCCCTCTAAAACCCTCAGTTTGTTTCTCAGAGTGCATAGTCTCTCATGGTTCATCTCCCCCTCCAATTTCCTCCCCTTCATTTTTCCCTCCTACTCTTTTTTTTTTTCTTTAACATATAATGTATTATTTGTTTCAGAGGTACAAGTCTGATCTACTCTGGATTTGTTTCTTGTTTTTTTGACTGAAATCCATATATTTGAAAGTATGCTGCTACTCTAAACATAAAAATAAATATAATGAATAAAAATTGTTAAATCCTAGCAGAATAATATTGTCTCTGCAAGACTGAATTTGAGACCTGCCTTTCCTTGTTAAAAGGGAAATGAATATCAACGGCATATTGGCATCACCTTGAGATTTTCTTCTCAATAATATCCGGAATGAAAGAGAAATGAAAAAGGCAGGACTTTCTTGGCATATGGTGGTGACAGATATTGAAGGTTGACTCATGCAATTTCCATTTCTAATCCCTGTCTTCCTTGCTGTCTGGCTCTGCTCTATAAGCTGTAAAAGTAAGAACCAAACTTACCAGTCTCCTTTGCAGTTAGTGGTGGCCACGTGACTCAGCTCTGGTCTGTGAGACGTAAGGAGAAGTCTCCCAGTCCCCTTTTCCTCTTTCTCCTTTTTTTCTGTTTTGAATGTGGACATGACATCTGGAGTTACAGCAGCCTTTTTGTGACCATGAGGTGGCAGGCATGAGGATGAAAGCCCATATCCTAAGACTGGCAGAGCAGAAAGAAAGAAAACAATGTCAGTCAGCTGCCCCAGACCTATGTACCTCCTCACTTCTTGCTATGTGAGGGAAATAAATTATATTTGTGCATTAGTCAAGGTTTCTCTAATTATGCACCAAACAGAATATTAACTGACCCAGTGTTTTTTAATTCCATGTATGTGGCACCTGAAATCAGCCTGATGCCCCTGGTGGCATGTGTTTCATGCTTTTCGAGAACCTTGTATAAGAGAGCTTATTAGTCTGTTAGGACTGCCATGGCGAAGTTCCACAGACTGGGTAGCTTAAACAGCAGAAATGTATTTTCTTATAGCTTTGGAGACTAGCACTTCAAAATCAAGGTGTTGGCAGGTGTTTTAAAGTTCAAGATCAGGGGGCCTGGGTGGCTCAGTCGTTAGGCGTCTGCCTTCGGCTCAGGTCATGATCCCAGGGTCCTGGGATCGAGCCCCACGTCAGACTCCCTGCTCCGCGGGAAGCCTGCTTCTCCCTCTCCCGCTCCCCCTGCTTGTGTTCCCTCTCTCACTGTCTCTCTCTCTGTCAAATAATAAATAAATAAAACCTTGAAAAATAAATAAATAAAGTTCAAGGTCAAGGTATTCTTCTGAGGCATCTCTCCTTGGCTTGCAGATAGCCACTATCTCACTGTGTCCTCCCATGGTCTTTTCCTCTGTGTTGTCTGTGTCCTAATCTCTTATTATAAGGACACCAATTACATCAAATCAGGGTCCACCCTAATGGCCCCATTTTAGCTTAATCACCTCTCAAAGACCCTATCTCCAAATCGTCGCATTCTGAGGTACTGGGGGTTAGGGCTTCAACATATGAATTTTGGAAGGACACAATTCAGCCCATAACAGAACCAAATAGTTTATTTTTTTAGTAGAAATTATTTTTTCCTTCCCTGCAATCTTTTAGACACAAGATAGCATGGCTCATGGATCTTCAAAGTCCACAGGCAGGGTCAGGAGCCTGCAGATGAGGGGAAAGAGTCCTGGATCGGGGGTCAGGAGGCCTGGGCTCTACACATCAATTGTCCTCTTGCTGGCATAGTCTCTCTGAACCTCCGTGTCTTCATCTGTAAAAATATATGAATATTACATGTAATAATGTATATGGAAGTATCTGACACATGCTAAGGATATTTCATCAAACCTAAAATGCCGCCAATTATAAAATGCACCATTATGTTCTGTGCGCCCAAATTGGCAAAATCGTGCCATGAGAGCTTTTAAAATTAGAGATTCAGGAGCCCCACCCCAAATTTGCTGAATTTGAATTTTCTGGGATGAAGTTTAGGGATTGGTATTTTTTAAATCCCCTGTACTATTCTGATAATGTGATATCCAGGCTCCAAATCAATGGCTCTCAGCATAGTCAATGTGTTGTAGAACCCAAAATTTAATTCTAAGGTGCCATCTTTGGGGCTATTTATCAGTTTCTTAGATATTCTATAGGAAGCCTGGATTTCTGGCTTTGCCAACAAAATCCCATGCCCAGATACTTTACATTTCCTAACACATTCATGGGATTCCAGAAAGTCTCAGCTCAGGAGTTGCATATAATAAATACTTCGGTAGAACATGTAAACCAAGCCCGGTTCTAGTGGTAGGAATTCTGTAACATGCACTCTCTTAGTACTATGTTCCTGACCCTGTCCCTGACTATAACCTGGGGGTGTTGGGTCCACATCTGTCGTTCTACATTTTATGATTCTAAGTGACATATTGTTAGTTCATTGTGTGCTTATTTTAACTTTTCTGTCAAACTTCTAAAAAACTAGTTGAATCTTCTTTATAGTTATTTTCCTGAATACCTATGATGGAATCCTGAGCCACATCATGCTGCTATGATAAAGCAAGTATCAAGATGAGAGGGATGCTCTGGGCTCCACTCTTTCCACAGGTCATGAGAGTAACCCACATGACTGCCTTCACTGCAATATCATTCCCCAGTTCTCGCACCAACATTTATATGTGCTCCCTCAACGGGGTCCAATCCCCTCATTGTACAGCAGAGCAGGTGCATGCCCCTCCTCCCCCTCCCTCCAACCAAGAAAGTAGATGACTTGCCCAAGGTCACATACAAGTCAGCCTACTGACACTGAGCCTACTTCCAAACCAATGTCCCTTGCATTCCTCTTACTTCCCATGATCTATTAATGATACTTCAGAGAGTCTTTATCAAAAGGTCAGGACAATATCACCAATGTCTTCTAGTCCAATGGAAAACTGCCCTGCATCTCACCCAGATCATTCACTGAGCCATATAGTTCCTGTTTTCATGCAGATTCCATCTGAGCCTTGGCTAACTCCCAGGGAAGCACATATCAGATCTGCTGTATATTGGCAGAACTTTGGCTTAGAACGTATTTCAAATGTCTCCCATTGAACATTGGCAGCCTTGAAAAAATATGGCCAGGAAATTATTCTGGGAAGCTCGATTGCTCTATGACACTTTACAAGGAGAAACTGATGGCTTTCGCTCCCAAGCTCTTCCCTCTGTGCCCAGAACAAATGACTCCATATTCCTGTATGTGCCCTAAATTAGGAGAGGGCCAGCTCCGCTGCCTCATGAATAGAGGGGGTGTCTGTAACGGGCAGAGCCCTCTGCACAGCACACTGTGCTTTGAGCCAAGTTCTTTCTCCTTCAGTTTTGAAACGCTTGGGTATTCCAAGAGAAATGTAGTCCATGTGTTTCTGATTCATTACACTTAAATCATTAAAATGTTGTTTTGTGAGTTATTTGATGTCTGAGGAGTCTGTGAAGCTTCTTAATGGGACTTTTAAATGGCTTTGTTTTTTTTTTGCTCTGCCTGAAACAGAAAGCAACACTTTGCTAAAACAGTTTTGCCTGAGTTCAAACATATTCTCTCATCTCATATATTTGCACCCACATTCTCGACCACAGCCTCTCACTAATGCCAGGCCTGGCAAGACTGACATTCGAAAGTGTTAAAATAGAGAAACTGGAGAGAAAATGGAGCGGGGAGAATTCCAGCGAGATTCAAAGAAGTGTTCCCCCAAAGGTGCCAAAGCAGCAGTATCAGAGCGTGGAGAGGACATGCGTTTGCTACCTTGGTCAGACTGGGGGGTGGCTTTCTGGGGTACACTGTTGGACAGCTAACACAGCACTTCGGAAGGCATAATCTCCTTGAAGCCTCATAGCAACCCTCATTTCCCAGATGTGAAGCAGGACCAGACATGCTAAGTATTGGACCCAAAGTGCACAGCTGGCTTGGACAGAGGGGAAAGATTACAGCTAAAAGCTCACTCTGAGTCTAATGCTCTTTTCAGAATGCCTCAAGTTGAGTTTCTCCATGAATGTTGTATTTGAAATACCAAAGGCACTAGAATATATTAGGGAAAAGCAGTAAGATATAGTGGGTAAGATCTCAGATTCTTCCCTTATCACTTTCTATGTTACTTAACCTCTCTGGGCAGTTTCCTTGTCTGTAAAATGGGGATAATCCTAGTACCCAACTATACAAGATATAAAGATGATTGAAGGGAATTAACACATTACTGGAAGAGTCCCTGACACCTAGTGCTCAATAAATGTTAACTATTCATGGTAGTAGCAGTAAGGAGTGAAAAAGAGCTGGATAATCTTGGCAAGGTGTAGAAATTCTCTGAGCCTCAGTTTTCTCATTTGTAAAGTGAGTACAACAGTGTGACCCCTACAGGTTTGTGGGAGCACTTGAGATGATGCTTATGCTTAGCACTGTGCCTACCACAGAAAAGGTTCTCCGTAAAATCTATTTTTCACACCCAGACATTTCTCTCCCTATTCAGTATCGGTTGTCATTTTTGTGGGGGGGAGAAACTGTCTTATTATTCAGCTCAGCTTAGATCTGGTGCTGCATTTCTCTACAATCTCAAGGTGTAGACGTGTATACAGACCTAGGTCTTTCTCTACCCAAGGGGTGCAGGCTTTCCTGCCGTGATGGACCCTCACTGGGCTGGACTGGTCGCACACTCTGAGTTGGTAAACAGAGCAAGTATTGCTTTTAAGCAAAGAAGAACCACTAGGCAACTGCAGGACTTGGGGCTCCCTCACATTCCTGGCCAACAGCTCTGTTCACAGGAAGATCTGTCGCTGTTTTCAGGCTGACTGAGGCTTTGGGATTTGGACCTTTTTTCTTTCCTAGTATAGATGTTAGAATTGCCTTCTTAGTTGGTTGTTTCTGTTTCACTGGTGTCTTTTTGCCAGTGTCCTGAAGAAGAGCAGAAAACTATAGCCATCTGGCAAGGGAGACTAAAGAGAGATTAGACTTTGTCCCTCTCCACCCTCCACACACACACACACACTCAGTACAGTCACACACACGTTCACTCACACACTCACTCATACACACTCACATTCACACAAACTCACTCATATACATTCACACACTCATACACATTCACACACACATACTCACACAAACACATTTTCTCTCTCTCTCTTTCTCTCTCTCTCTCTCTCACACACACACACACACACACACACACACAGAGATACAAATACCTTTTTGAGCCTCTCAGTTTTCTCTCAAGAGCTGGACCCAGCCACACAGGATAAAGGAAGGAACTGGAGATCTTTTCAGGAAGAAGACAGATTCTGTTCTGTCAGGTTCCTATGAGTGTGTGTAAAAGCGAGTCAGAGGAGAGAGAGAGAGAGAGAGGAGGGAGAGAGAGAGGGAGAGAGAAGAGGGAGGGAGGGAGAGAGAGAGAGAGGAAGAGGCAGAGGGAGAGAGGGGGAGAGAGGATCTGTTGCAGGCAGGGGAAGGCGTGACCTGAATGAAGAATGCCAGCCAATTCCAGAGACACACAGGGACCTCAGAACAAAGATAAGGCATCGCTGACACCATACGGGGGACAAGCTCACGGGAAAGTCAGGCCGAGGGGACCGAAGCCAGGCAGCCAGGAGCACCCCAGGCAGGAAAATGAGGTGAGTGCCAGGGCAGGAGTGGACATGGGGGGGCCCTTTCGGGAACCAGGTGTCAAGTAGCCCGGGAAGGTTTGCCCTGGTCTCCAGGCAGACTCACCTGTGTGTCCTGTGGCTGTTGCAGGGGGTTCTCATCAATCCCTGGGGCTTTGAGAAGGGCGATGTGGGCTGGGCGCTGCCCTGGGACTGCGGAGACACGCAGCTCGAAGCGGGAGACTTTGTGCAAATCCTGCCCGTCGCTGCCCAGGCTCAGTTTCTCCCTCTGCCAGCATAGGGGGCTGTCCGCTGGCAAATGTGACTTCCCTCCTGTTGCCCACGAGGCTGATTTTTTGTTTTCCTCCTCTGCAAAGAGCATTGGTTTATCTCTTCCGACACTTTGTGAGTTAGATATGTGTTTGTGTGTTTATTTCTTCTGACCGGAAATGAAGCCAGCTTCCCACAGCTCAGCTCTGCGGTTTCTTAAACCTTCAGAAGTTTGCCAGTTAAAACCTCAATTTAGAAAACGAAAAACCTGTCCCCATTTTACAGTTCCCTATAAATTTCTGCATTTCTCACTGAAATCAGAGGCAGCTGGTGGCATGAATCAGGCTATGAATTGTACCAAATGACTCTTAAAGGGATACCACAAATTAAAAAAAAAAAAAAGGAGCCTCTGGTGTTCTAAATCCAGGACTTTCAATTCTAATTGTTTTTAAACTCCTCAACATTTCCTATTCCTCAGCCTATACTTAGAGCTACTTGATCCTTCTTACCAGGCATTCCTTCTAAGTTTTCCTCTTCAAGTCTCAAAACGCAACCACTATAATTATTTTTACTATTTATAAGTGTTAATGCTGTTAATAATACCCAAAGAAAGGAAGGTAAAAGAAAAACACCCTGCAGATGTGTTGAGTCCCTCAGCACCTCTTTTCTCGCTGATTTTCTTCTCAATTGGAAAAGGGTTTCTATTTGTTTCTCTTCTGCAAAGTCACCTAGCAACTTTTCTGGGTCTGGGGCCAATGGGGGGCTTCAGACTCTGTTAACTCTTTGAGCTCATATTACCTGTGGTTCAGAGAAATAATCAAGTCTCTAAGGTTAATTTGATCTGTTCTTTTAAAATCCATTGTAACATTAAGCCTGCCATCTAACTTCATTTTCCTTTCTCCTGAAAGAGATAGGATTTATGTCCATCTACATGGAGTGACAATTCAACTGATCTGTGGAGAGCAGAATCCTACCCTACCACCCCATGCCGCAGCCATACCAACCTACAGACTGATTAACAGCTCTGTATCTTTGTGTTCACTCACCCCTTAGCGCAGAATAGCTCTCCCCCCTTATTTTCCACCTAAAGGCCCCCATTGTTCAAGCCATAGCTCAAACATCATCTCTTCTTGCCTGGCCAACATCCCCAGAATGAGCATCCTCTCCTTTGTGCTATCCCTGTTCTTGGGAGCTACGTCTCTCTTCGTCCTCATAATATTTTGCTATTCAAATGTCTATCTCCTTTTCCAAGACCGAATGCTCCTTAAGTATAGGATCTATGTCTCTCTCTCTTTTTTTTAAAGATTTTATTTATTTATTTGACACAGAGAGAGAGACAGCGAGAGAGGGAGTGGGAGAGGGAGAAGCAGGCTTCCCGCTGAGCAGGAAGCCCAATGCGGGGCTCGATCCCAGGACCCTGGGATCATGACCTGAGCCAAAGGCAGACGCCTAACGACTCAGCCACCCAGGTGCCCCAAGGATCTATGTCTTGTTCACCTTAGTATGCCTAGCACCTAGCATAATGTCTGTTTCCTATCAGGCATTCAATAAATATTAGCTGAATAGAATTCAGCTGACCAGCAACAGATCAGTGGAGATGTGCTCCACTAGAAGTCTCCAAAGGGTCTCCCTCATAGGGACACAGCACTTCAGAGTTTGTAAAGCACTTTTATAGGCCTCTCTCATCAGGTCTTTAGATTTTAGATGAAGTAAGGATTTATGGAGAAGTGAGGATAAAAGCAGTTAAGCAACTTGCCCAAAGCCACACAGATGATCTTGAAAAGGCTCTCACTCAAACTTGACTCTTTGGACTCCGAGTCCAGGATTTTTTCTACTACATTCCACCAGACTCTCAACCAAGTGTATTATTCTATACCAATAGCTCTCAATTCTAGCGGTACATTAGGATCATCTGTGATGCTTTCAAAAGTGCCAATGACTGGACCTCACTCCAGACCAATTAAACTAGAATTTGTTGGAGAGGGGCTTTGTTATTAGTATCTTTTTTAAAAAATTTCTACATAAAGCCATGAGTTTTTAAATTATTTTTCACAGGATTAATTGCTTTGGCCAAATGCCTAGACATGATATGGGCATGGACCCAGCGGCTCCCTCTGTTAGCTTTTGTTATTCTCTTCTTCTGTTGAAGCTAATTCGCCATATGGTGTTGGGCATGACATGTCACTACTTGGGGTATCCTTTTCATCATCTGTCAAATAAGGGCCTTGTCCAAGGGATCTACACAGTGGCTTTCAACTCTCACAAACAGTCTTGGTGTAGTGTAGGTTGAAGTGAGGGGAGGCAAGGAAGAGGATACAAAGTACTACTTCTTCCACAGTCATTGACACACGGGGGCATTTTGTGCACTTCCCAGAGCCTGCTCCTGCAGGGGGCCTATCCAGTCCCAGCTTTATATATTGGTTGACATGTTAAGCAAATGTAGTGAAACGTTTTGATTAACTTGAGAATAGGTAGCAGGTGTCAGGAATTCACAGCCGGGCCTGGTGTATAGGAAGCAAGAAACATCCAGAAAGTGTGATGGGAAACAAAAGCCGCCACTTACATTCTTCGATTGACAGCTCCTAAAGCAAGCAAGCATATGCTCAGGCCCATTATGGGCAAGGAGATATTTGTTTCATATGTTTGAAACTGTTTGGTGATGTACACAAAATAGAACAGAAAGCTTCTTCCCACACTGGCCCGTTACCTACCACATGTGGGCCTTTGGGGCTGAATGGGGGCTGTCGGCAGCCAGCCGTGGACAGGACCAGCATTAGGGGCTCAGAGTCTCCTCCATGTGGTCTGGAAAAAGCAGGCATGGAGAAAGTTGACCTTTCAGCCTTGCATAATCTGGGTGTCAATGTTGCAGTGAGGTCCAGCTTGGGGACCAAAGTTCTTTCCTAACCTCTGCTTTTCGGGAAGCAGCATGATGGAGTAATTATAGCTAATGTTTGCTGAGGGCTGGGCGGTTAACAAAGCACTTTCCAATCCTCCTTTACTCTGATAGCAGCCCTATGGCGAGTCATTATTATTACCCCTTACTGGACGAGGACACTGAGACCTTACGTGGCTTCCCCAAGTTGGGTCAGATAAATATAGTCAAAGGCTGGACCTGAAACTAGCTCTTCTGACCCAAGGCTAAGACTCTCCCCTCCCCAGGCAGAACTGAACCAGAACTCCCAGCCCTGGTAACATCCGTACCTTTCCTCGCTCAAAATTAGGGCTGTGTGGGCCCTGAAAGATCAGGTTTCTAGACTCTGCTTTCCTGGAGTTCGCTGGAGAGCTTGGACCTTTGCCTTCCCTTCTCTCTGCCTTGGAGGCCCTCCCTCCAAGATTGGTTTTAAAGAAATATTGACCCTGGCAATTGGACTAAAACATTTTGTTTCCTCAGTTGAAACCTCACATGTTACTATTGTAGGGACATTGGAAAAAAATTTAAAAGACTTTATTATTTTCTTTTTATTAAAAAAACAGTACAAGGTCCTTCTTGACAAATATGAACATCACATATACACAAAAATTAAACTTAAAACATTCATACTCCCACTTGAGAGATAACCACTGTTAATACACTGGTGATATCCTTCTAGGCCTTTTTGCACTTACCTATTTACCTTTCATGTAAATACCATATGAGACAGCTAGATAATTTATCTTTACAGTTATCTTGTTGTGTTACATATTCAAAAATTCATGTGTATGCATATTTATACATGTAAGCATCTGTGTGCTGGGGAAGGAGGGTTAGGGAGAAACAACTTTCTGATTAGCAAAGTGTAACCATTACAGTAGTCCCTGCTTATCCAGGGAGGATAAGTTCCAAGACCCTCAGAGGACCCCTGAAACCACAGATAGCAGGGAGCCCTATAGACACAATGTATTTCCTATACATACATACCTATGATCAAGTTTAATTTATTAATTAGACACAGTAAGAGATTAACAATAGTAACTAATAATAAAATAGAACAACTGTAACAATATACTGCAATAAAATTATGTGAATGGAATCTCTTTCAAAATATCTTTTTTTAAAACGTTTTTAAATTTAAATACAATTAATTAACATATAATGTGTTACTGATTTCAGAGGTACAAGCCTGTGATTCATCAGTCTTATAGAATACCCAGTGCTCATTACATCACATGCCCTCCTTAATGTCCATCACCCAGTTAGCCCATCCCTCCACCCGCTCCCCTCCAGCAACCCTGTTTGTTTCCTATGATTAAGAGTCTCTTATGGTTTGTCTCCCTCTCTGGTTTTGCCTTGTTTTATTTTTTCCTCTCTTCCCCTATGATCCTCTGTTTTGTTTCTTAAATTCCACATATCAGGGAGATCACATGATAATTGTCTTTCTCTGATTGACTTATTTCACTTAGCATAATACCCTCTAGTTCTATCCACGTCATTGCAAATGGCAAGATTTCATCTTTGATGGCTGCATAATATCCCATTGTATATATATACCATATCTTCTTTTTTTTTTTTTTAAGATTTATTTATTTGAGAGAGCGAGAGAGAATGAGAGACAGAGAGCATGAGAGGGAAGAGGGTCAGAGGGAGAAGCAGACTCCCCGCCAAGCAGGGAGCCCGATGCGGGACTCGATCCCAGGACCCCAGGATCATGACCTGAGCCAAAGGCAGTCGCTTAACCAACTGAGCCACCCAGGCGCCCTATACCACATCTTCTTTATCCATTCATCTGTCGATGGACATCTGGGCTCTTTCCATAGTTTGACTATTGTGGACATTGCTGCTATAAACATTGGGGTGCAGGTGCCCCTTCAGATCACTACATATGTATCTTTAGGGTAAATACCCAGTAGTGCAATTGCTGGATCATAGAGTAGCTCTATTTTCAACTTTCTGAGGAAACTCCATACTGTTTTCCAGATTGGCTGCACCAGCTTGCATTCCCACAAACAGTGTAGGAGGGTTCTCCTTCTTCCGCATCCTCGCCAACATCTGTCGTTTCTGGACTTGTTAATTTTAGCCATTCTGACTGGTGTGAGGTGGTATCTCATTGTGGTTTTGATTTGTATTTCCCTGATGCCAACGGATGTTGAGCACTTTTTCATGTGTCTGTTGGCCATTTGGATGTCTTCTTTGGAGAAATGTCTGTTCGTGTCTTCTGCCCATTTTTTTTTTTTAAGATTTTATTTATTTATTTGCTAGAGAGAGAGGGTGGGAGAGAGCAAGTGAGCGAGAGTACAAGCAGGAGGAGCTGTAGGCAGAGGGAGAAGCAGGCTCCCTGCTGAGCAAGGAGCCCAATGTGGGACTCGATCCCAGGACCCTGGGATCATGACCTAAGCCAAAGGCAGCTGGTTAACCAACTGAGCCACCCAGACAGCCCTTCTGCCCATTTCTTGATTGGATTATTTGTTCTTTGGGTGTT